TATGTGTGTATATGTAAATTCTTTATGACCACGCAATAACGATATATAAAACTGCTGATAATAAATCTAATTCTAAATACGCTTAAATATAAGTCCATAATGGCTTCGTAGCTTAATATTTCTAAGTATTAAAAACGCACTGATTGTATTTAAAGGAAATGAAATCGCGTTTGATTTATCAATCATCCAGCATACGTCCAAAGGCTTGAAATTTGAAAAATTTGTTCGATTATTCTTTTTACAAGTAAATTTATAAAGATAATGGCAGATTTCTGATTCATGAATTTTAAAATTGTGATCGTAATTGATTGTTTTGTTCATATTTATTTCAGTATTATGTTAAAACAAACGAAATAAATAGTTTGTTATATTATTCTTGTTTCAACTCACAGTTGAAGATTCGTCAGTTCATACTTTTCTTATCGAAATTCTTCATTTTTTTTTAACGTTAACATATTAGACATGCTGCATTAAATGCTTTTACATTTCTTAAATTTTAAAATGGGAATGTAAATCTAATTTCGCCATGAATTGCGTTGAATTCACAAATTTCAAGCATCTTAATCGGCTCAATCAGCTGCGCAGTTATACAATAATTGGAATTATAAAATCTTATGCGTTCATATGAACGAAAATAATCTAGGACTAGAGATTCTGCAAGATAAGTACAAATAATAATAATAATAAATGAAAACATGGCAAGATTTACATACGTGCCAATTTCTCATCTCGTCGGAATCTTTGAGAGGTACACGCTGTTGCATATATAGTAAAGTATATTTCACATTTAAACTCAAGAATAATCGGGACTCGGCAAATGTAAAAATATAATTTTTTGTAACTTTTTAATAAACCATATTTATATATTTCTAATATAAAAAATTAATTTAGATATATCATTAAATTAAAATTTGTTTATAAGAAGAAAAATTATTAATGTTTTATTTGTGGGATATCGGCAACTGGGAAAAAAAATTTTTCTGATTATCCAATACGGTGAGAGTATCTTGATATCAGATATCCAGAAGAGTGCTTACAAAGCAGACTGCAACACGCATTCGATACGAGGAATTCTTTTTTGTCGGCGTTGCGCAACAGGAACCTGTTGCTACTCTTGCTGATAGCGGGTTATACGAGTGGTAAAATAAAGCATAAATCGGCAAGTTTCGTTCGAGGAATCAAAATGATTCTCACATCATCGCGTCAACGCGGCTTGAAATTTCTCCCCGAGAGCATTATGTACATGAATAGGTTTTATATATTATATATACGATCCTCTTTTGACTGCATTAATAAAAAAGATCAAGCAAGCGAAACTTGCCCGAAAAAATTGAAAAATTGGTACCAATTTGCAGAAAATAAAAATGATCCGTCAAGGCCAACGTGAACTAACGCTATCGACTAGTCTTTAAATCGTGTTAGCTACAATACTAGCAGGATCGAGACAATTCAAATATAAGAAAACTACGTATCAAAGAGAGTTCGAAAGAAAAATAAAAAGACTCGTAACTCGAATAATAAATGGTTTGATGGTTATAAAGTCATTTTGAGAGTATGGATTTCAAGGTCGTCGATAATTGCCGAAATAATATAGCAGATAAATGCGGATGAATCACTCAGTAAATTTTAACAAAATTCCAACATTTTTAAAGTCATCATCTCCAAATTGATGATAAGAGCAGTTAACACATTATTTTTGAATATCTTGAATAATTTCTATAATTAACAAAATGACGTGAGATAGATAACTTCTTATCGACCTTGTCGAATATCTAGAAATATTGTATGTTATCGGAATAAATAATAACTATTAATTATATTAATGATCGCAATGATGACGACACTAATAACGCGATAACATGTCGATAACGTTAGAACGATGCAATAATAACAACGGTGAATCGAGTAGCGATAGACTTAACAATTTTTGGTCCCTTTTTTAGAGAACAACCATAGAGAAATATTGATTTTCAAACAATTTTCAGATCTATCCCTTATAAATGTCGATTATTAAGACAATCTGGGAGATAGTTTTCTTTATAAATCAAATCTCTTCATTAGATCAAGAAATCAGTCTTTGAATAGATTTCTTGGATCCTAGAAACCCCGTTCCTTGGTCATCCCCTCAAGGTTTCTAAACGAGAGTTGACAACTCGTGTGGACTGTTGGTGGTGGCGGCGCTACTCAGGTCGAGCGTGGCTGCTGGCAGGCCAGGGCTCACGCTG